CCTAAGTGTGTCGCAGGATACCCTCTAGGTGATAGTTCTTGATTACTTTTTGATAAATAATTCGTTCTTATTGCGAAATAGGAGCACTATTTATCCATCTGTAATAAAGGATGTGAGGAAATTCTGTCTTTTTTAAAGACAACAATTTTTGAGGCAAAATACCCAAAAAGAAGTTTGTAAAAAATTAAATATGTTGGTCTACTTCAGCTCTAATGGAAATTCGTTTCTATAGTTGATGAGTTTTTGCGGGTTAATTGGCTGAAAAACTCATGCCCTGTTTATGTGTGAAGCGTATTTTCCTAGCAAACTTTGTCAATCAAACTGGTTTGTTGGTATCATTTTCATCTCTCATTCGTTGGAGCGTGTACATTTTAACTCCCAGTTATTTCCCTATTGGCCAAAACAAGTTGCTGCTATCGCAGCATCTCATAGATAATTGCAGCAAATTTTCGAACAGGCAGGATTCTAATAAAATGTATGACTTTGGAGTGTTTTACTCAATCACTCAGTCGGCCGCAGTGGCGGCCTGTTTCGGCATCCTTTAATAAATAAAATTAATTTTGACGCGTGAAGTGAACGATTCACTGCAGCTCGTCTTGTAGTCACTGATGTGAAGGTGCACTTTTTCAAACACCTTTTTTCCCCATTCATATGGCACCTATAAATAGGTGCGCGTCAACGACTTTCGCTTTTGCTTCCCTTTTGCCAAATATTTATATGCTGTTTCGGTTTAACAAACTTTTAGTGAAATTGGGTCAGAACTTGAGCAGTGTTTTGCATTTGGTCTTTTAGATCAAGCTTCATGCGCGTTTAAATTTGAAACTGTTCCAATCAACAAGGAGTTGAATGGTTGGGGAATAACCAAAGAAGACTAGTTGAGAGAATCGCATCAAATGCTCAACCGTTTGGGCTTCGATTGGAAAAAGTGTCCGAGGGGGTGTTTGAAAAAGTTTAGTAAGAATACAAAGACACCAAATTTCCTATAAAAGTGCCTGAAAAGAACCGGTGAAGTTCAATGAAAATTGGCAAAGAATCCATGTCGGATCACCTCAATGTATGAGGTACCAGCGTTTTTATGGTTTGTTATTATTATCCAATTAAACCTTGTGCCAGTTTGTGTTGATTGATTAATTGACTTAAATATTATGGAGTGTTGAAGGCAATAACTGTTCCATTTATTGATTTAGTAACACAAAATATTAAACTTTGCATCCTTGGCGATATTCGAATTTAACTGCAACACAAACCAGTAAAGTTTTCAAGTGTTTCCCGTTTTTCAACCAAAAGTTCGCCAATAAAATCATCTGCCCTCCATGTAGAATATGCATATTTGGTTATGAGATCGCTTTATCATTTTTTCCAAGCCGAAACATCTCGGGTTTCACGCGAGTTTTTTCAGTCAATATTTTTCATGCGGAAATGTACAGTTGAAAACTCGCAACTTTTGATTAGAAAGGACAAATTGCTACGCAGTTTTGCCTGCAGCCTGGGTTCAATTAAAGCTTTCAAGTCTGGAAATGGTTGAATATTTTTCAAAATTTGGACGCATTCAGAGTGTGAAGTAAAAATAGTGGAGGTTCGAATGAATCGATTATTTCCCTCTCCGTCGAGCCTTCAAAGTGCTGAAAGAATTCCAGAAAACGCCAGTCGTCAACGTTAAAAAATGCACTTTTCTAAACATTTTCGCCGGATTTCACAGATACACATCGCCCAAAGCTGCACAAATAAATGTTACATTAATATATTACATGGAAATCTTACGCGTCTTTCATAAACAAACACTTGGCCAATGAATACTGATTCTATTGTTTCCACATCTGGTTCAATCATACATTTCCCGGCTCGAATATAAATAAATAACGGCCTTGCGGAAAACTAACTCACAATGCTGTTTTCCCAACGGGGATTAACGAGTGCGATTTATTTGCATTTCTTACACCGATCAAAATAGCTCGTTTCGTCTATTAATAAAGTGGAGGTTTAATTTTAGAGTGCTTCATTTTTCGTTTATCCTGCATGTACAACGCAATCAAATGGTAATCATTTTCCGATGGTGTAAACTGGAAATAGATTATTTGCTGTATTGCTGACGTTTCGCAACGACGAGTAGAGAGCATCTTCAGTTGTTCAATGTTTCCATCTCAAAGACTGCAGAAGCGTAAAACCGTCCAGGTTCAGACCGAAATTCGCAATGCTCGCAAAAATCAGGTTTTGGTGTCACTTTAGTGCACTTTTGAGAGTGTTTGGACTGAAGTGTTTTCTATCGAATTTGGGTTTTTGTGCTTCTTACTGGATTTAGTTGAGAAGCTAGAATTTTTTATCTGAAAAACTTCAGTGGCGAAAAACGGTCCATGTTCAGACCAAAGTTAGCAATGCTCTCAAAAATCAGGATTTAGTGTAATTTTAATGCAGTTTAAAGACTGTTTAGGCTCGAGGGTTTTCCATCGAATTGGAATTTTTGTAGTTTATACTGGATCAAGATAAGAAGTTAGATTTTTTTACCTGAAAGTCTTCATTGGCGTAAAATCGTCCATGTTCAGACCAAAGTTCGCAAAGCTCGCAAAAATCAGGATTTAGTGTCACTTTAATGCAGTTTTCAGAGTCTTTCGACTCGAGTGTTTTCTAGTGAATTTGAAGTTTTGTAGCTCATACTAGAACAAGATAAGAAGTAAGAATTTTTTATCTGAAAGTCTTCAGTGGCGTAAAACCGTTCATGTTCAGACCAAAGTTCGCAAAGCCCGCAAAGATCAGGAGTTGGTGTCATTTTAATGCACTTTTGAGAGTGTTTAGACGCAAGTGTTTTCTATCGAATGTGAAGTTTTGCGGTTCTTATTGGATTTAGTTAAGAAGCTGGAATTTTTTATTTGAAAGGCTTCAGTGGCGTAAAAAAACTTCCTTGAGTGTGTCAACAAAACCCCTCGTGCTTGCGAAACGTCCGGATCAAATTCTTTTTCACTTTTTTTCTCACTTTTCAGTTTCTCAATTAATTGCGATCAGCCGCACTTATTTCACTCACGCACTCCTAGTACGGACATGAAAGTTTCCGGATTAGCCCGCGATTGCTCGTATAGTAGGCCCGTTTCTTGACGGCGCAATGTAAATGTAGCTAAAATGGCAGGCCTACAAGCGCAAAATCGCCGGTTATACGTGTGATTTGCGCAAAGTGAAGCAAATTCGAAAATTAAAGACACTTAAAAAATGAGCTGATAATCGACGAACTCTAAACCTAAAATAGCGACTTAAGGAAAACAAACGGGTTTGATTTTACAAGAGGTGGAGATTTTCGCACGATTTCGATTTACTATCTCGAGCCCAAACTTTCCCTAATAAACTGGAGATCTTCAAGCTGGCCAATGTCCGAGTACCTAAAACAAACAAAAAATTCAGCAAAAATCACTCAATTATTCTAAACTCTCCTTAAATTAACGTAAAATCGTTTTCTCAAACTTCGGTGCAATTTTCGCATTTGAGCTCCTAAGTGCTTTTGATGACCAAAAAGGGGTTTGAAAAATATAACGTTTTCCGGTTAAATCCTAAAACTTCGCCATTACACTGTGCTCCTTTATAGCTCTTAATTTCGACTTTTGATGATTCTCAGCAAGATTTATTATCTCTTTCCTCGCATTTCAAGGCCGTAAACTGCTTTATAACACCCGTTAATAATAATATTCTATAACTCATTTTTATGTGCATTATTACTCTAAAGTTGGGCTGTAAACAAAGGAAAACATTTCGGAACCTAAACAGTACAGGTTTCTCTAGAGCTATCTTCATGCTAAATCCAGCTGATGAGGGCGAATAGTCTCGAAACCGTTTCTAGTGGAGCCTAAGATTAACAGATTTTGAAACGTCATATGAAAAAGCCCATACCAAAGTGGCTCTTCTGAGAATTAACTCGGGCAAATTATCACCATTTTACACTTTATTAGCCCAGTAAAGTCTCTTAAACGTGCTTTAAATTTACGACTAGTTTCGCTCAGATGCCTTGAAGAAAATCGTAGGTTTTACGCTCTAATAGTGTCATTAGTCTACAAAGTATTTTGAGCGGACGTTTCGCTTACATCGGCGGCAAGATGCCTCAAAGGTAATGTGGAGGCGCAATCGGTGATTTGTAGGCGAAATGGAAGCGCATAAAATGTCGATTAGAACGACAAATTAATCTTGATTTAGTTCTGCTTATTCCCTGTTTGTTCTTTATTGGTTTATTTTTTGCTGTTAGTTTTGCTTCCATTCATWWAACTTAAGCGATTCTAAATATCMACAGTKAGACTTTYGTCGACATTGCTTGAAGCTCGTGAGATCTTCGGGCCTTCAGGCCGGCGTGGAAAATAATGTTTGCCCAAAGTTTCGCATGCCCGGGAAACTTACATCTTCAGAGCTGATTCGTTCGAAGCAGCGCCACTCTAAAAACGCCCAGGAAGACCACAGATTGAAGTTTTCCACACAATTTTTCTCAGAAATTGATAAAAATTGCCAACAAAGAGTGGAATTGGAAAGAATTTAAACAAAAATTATAT